GTGAGCTGATGTCAGAACACAGCAGGATATCATCAGGAGAATTGTATGCACATGTTTTCTGCTCGCCAATATGTTCTCCGCTTTTTTGTTGATATTGTGATTCTGTCAAATTACACATATAGCATTAATATACAGGCAAATAGTCTCTTTATATCAAGCTCTGTTGCTTCTTCTGCCACTTCAATATCATTCTTTCTCCGTCATGTCTTGCCTCAGGAGGTGACCTGCCACGCCTCCTCTCCTGTCCGGTCTCCCACTGTGAGGTGCGGGTGTGAACAAGTTTAATATATCTATTCTGCATGTGTTCAACACATTAACAATATCTGAATAAGAGTGGAGAAGAACATACTGGCAAACAGAAACAGAAAGAGCAGAGCGGTTTCTCTACATGCATGAGGAGCGCTTTGGTTGCCTGCATACAGTCTATGGTCATGTGTTGCTCTCAGGACATAAATGTCAGCAGCCCCCTCACGCTCCATGAGGGGGAATTTTCCTGAATATACACAACAGCATTTTCACATTAGCTCACCACAAAAAACTTTTCAAGAAAATCTTCCAAGTATAGTGTAGCAGCAACTGATTGTTTTACCTGCATACACAAAAGCTTGCTGATATGTGATTGGTCAACACTACTCTGACTACAAACATACTAAAGCAGGAAACTAGTAAACTTTAATTAATAACATCCAGACGCAGGAATACAGATTCTTCAAATTCATTTTCATGTAGAAAGTTCAAAAGAAGCAAAAAAAGAGAAATGGTTTTTACAGCAAGGCAGCATAACAAAAAGCTAACGACTGGCTCAAGAGATTAAAAGATGATCGCAAAAAATGCTAAACTCAAGGCCTCAAAGGGGCCGTTGACAAACCTATAAACTGTCAGTTATTCCTATTTACAGCAAGATGCTGACTAAGTTCGATTTCTGACTTACCGATCATATATAATACAACATTTCCTGTTGTATTATCCTGTTAATTACTCCACTTAGAGAAGGAGTGTGTGAGTGTTGGCTGTAAATGGAGTTTAATGAAGGTTAATGAGTCAGGTCTTCAGTGTTTTCCTCACAGCTGGAGTCCAGACAATGAAAGCAGACACAGTCAGTCAGTCAGTCCACTGAGACACCTGCAGACAAAACACCCGAGCAAAGGCACCAGCACTACCAGAAGGAGACGTTCAAATCCTCTCTGGACGTGTCTAGATTTGTCTTTACCTCTGTTAGTTTGCTCTCATTTCATTGTGCAGCAGCAGATATGAAGTTTAACCTTTACCTGAAATCTCAATGCATGACACCTTTGTTTACAAAGTGAAATCATTCAGCCCTCCTTTTCCTTCAACAGCACACACATACTCAAATTCTATTTGAATCCTATTTTGCTTATATGGTACATAAACCTCAGCAGGGCACGGGCCTCGAGTGGAAAATGTTTCCATCAGCCGTGTTTGTGGCTGTAAGGTGCCTGTGGTTATTGTTTGTTTGTTATGCTTCAATGTAATTCGCTTTTTTTCAATTTAAACTCTACAAATAAAGAAATATATACATGTATCCAACATCAGCATGAATCCTTTAGGAGGGAGAAGAAATTAAACGTGTATACCCCTCCCCCTCTCTCATATTTCTTCTATTAACTTAACGTATATTTTATTCCAACAAATTCTCACGTTGGTTTACAACTCATATGCAAACAAGAATCCCCATGCAGTTTCTTTGGCACTCAGAGTGAATAAATAAACAACAATCCCAGTGTATTTACAACCCAAATATCCAACCTGTGTTATAAAAAGAAATAGGAACACTCCTTTAAAACAACACTTCCAACACAACCTTTACTCTTCAATCCACCTGCCAAGAATATATTTTGTTGTATAGTTTTTAAAATTGATTGATACTTGTGCTTTGTTTGAACTCATCGCCCAACCCATTCCACAAGTTAAACTAAAACAACAGCATGATCCAGCTCTATTGTTAGTGAGGCTTCATGACAAACAGCCCAGTGGCTCAAACACAGGTGACCTGGTCGGTTTGCACGATAGACTGTAAAATAAATACAGTCTATGGTTTACACGTCATAGCTCTTTATTGTTACATGTTAAGAGCCATACACGCACCAAAACAACATGTAAAAACATTTGACTGTCCCTTTAAAACAATAAAGACAAAAAGCGATCCAGTACTCGACGTCTTATATCATCTTAACATTTCAAGCAGCTGCACTGACTTCTTCACCTCGGCTTCACCTTCAAGATATTTGCCTCTGAAATCACAATTCAAATCTTCAGTCGGCGACCTCCATGTTAACCATTTTCACAGGAAGACAAACATTTCCATAATCAAAGGAACCTGCAACGTCTGTAGAAGGAGAGCTTCACTTGTGTTTGTGGAAAAACAGCCGGGCTGCTGGAACACATGCGTGCAGGTGCACTGTGTTCACAAACAACACCGGGCACAACTTACAGTGTGCAGGAGGGAGGTTTAAAACCACCTGGGAGTGCGACAGGTGATACTGCATCAAAAATCTCTGTATGAGTCTTTTTACTAGAAAAGATTGCATATTCTTTGACCATGAAATGGCTGCAAAGAACTTCTAGTTTGCTTTGGAGCAAAGACGACTTAAACAACTCCTAAGATGCTTTCACACACACACAAAACTTCTTTAAGTATTTGTGAGCTGCATTTGTGAATTCATTTAGACAAATTTGTCATTACACTTTTATCCAAATTTTTTCCAGCCAGCCTTCTAGTAAATTTGCCAAGGGACGTCAGGTTGACCTGATATGGGAATAGAGAAGAAAATATTCATGTAAATTCATTGCTAGCAAATGGGAGGGGGTGGTGCTGTTTATATTCAGCAACCGGCCCATGACAGTCCCCCTATCAAGACTGCCGTTTCGAGGCGTGATATTTACGCCCCTGTGAGGTTCCACCTTCAATATGAATGTTGTGGACACTTAATGGTCCAGTAAAGGGGGGGGAGTAATCCCCCATTCAGTTTCTGTACCATCTTCAGAGGTAGTAGCAGAGGCGTTACAGGGTTAAGACGGGATCGACACAGACAGACAGGCGGAGCCAGTGGGGGAGAGCAGCACTGTGTGTGTGTGTGTGTGTGTGTGTGTGTGTGTGTGTGTGTGTGTGTGTGTGTGTGTGTGTGTGTGTGTGTGTGTGTGTGTGTGTGGAGCTACTGCTGTGTCGTGCTCTTTTGCGCTTCCGCAACACCATAATGCAATGGTGGTAATTCACCAACTGGAACACCACAATCAGCTGTTATGGAATCAATATGAATGTGTAAAAGGCTAAATGAAACTTCTCCATGAAAAGTGACTCGATCACCGTGCATGTAATGAAAATACTGCATTCCGTTTTCTGTTAGCCAGTATGTTCTTCTCTGCTCTTTTGTGGATATTATGAGAAAGTGGAACTACGTGTTCCATTGATGTAAAGAAAGAAATCCTCATTATAGTGTAGGACTTGGATTGCTTTGTCTGCCACTTCCACGCTGTTTCTCTGCGTCATGTCTTTCTGCTAAGTTCCCCGTATCATCCGACAGGGTCACACTGACACTCAGCAAGATTTCCGAGGCAGCCTGCTTGAAATTTTCTAGAAAACTTCAGGAGTGCATGTGTGAAAATGTCTCGACAGCACAATCCACTTCTTACATGACCCACACATTTACCCTAAATATTTGATTAAGAGTCACCTTTAATTGTTTCTCTTGTTACGTAAACACCAGGCGTACCTCTTTACATTTGCATGTTTCCACTTAAGCACAACAAATCCCCGAGGAATATCCACAGAATTTAGCATTAACTAAACTTAAATTAACATCCAGCAGTGTTTGTGTTGCGTGACTACAATCCACAGTCATCAGTTAGCATGGTGTTCACACCTCATTCATGATAATTGCAGTCTGTGAGGAATGTCAAAACTCAGGAAGGAGCAGGCGCTCAAATGAAACAATTATTTTAATCTCCAACTGCACAGATTTGCTTTACATTTTCGTCTCTGTATGAAAGCACGTTTAAATCTGTAATATATTTTTATTCAAATGTTTGGTCAATCATATTTTGGATGTTTTACAGTTATACACTTTGCATCAGTCAACTGTCTTGTGTTAACTGTGTCGACTGCCACAACTGGTGAATCTAGTAGTTGTAATGTAGGTTTATGTTTAATATACATTATCTGATAACGTTATTTGTACAAAATCTACTTCTGAACATTATCTTGGTTGATTTTCTATGATAACAGTTTGTTTAACACCTTTACACACTGTATTTTTTTTTTAAATAAACATTTGGATTTTAAACTTGAAGATTTCTGACGGGCACTCAGCCTTGAACGGAGACGGACTCTGAGTGACATCTCACTCCGAGATACCAAACGAAATGATAAAATGACCTTATATCACAATGCACCAGCTCCAAGACTATAAAAGCTGGAAGCTATAAAACCCTGCTGCTTCACGAAATCAAATACTGTGGAAAACTGTTTAATTGAGGGGAACTGACCCACATTGCAACATTCAGCCCTAGAAAGTTCACCATCGACCGTTTTTTGTTTGTTATTTTACTTTAGCTCTACTTTATGATAGGCAAAGACTACTACAACAATCATAATTTAATCCAAAAGACATGAGCTCTATTTTTTCTTCCCACTTTAACTAGCCTTTTAAAACATGCTACATGTCCCTGTGAATGACTGAGCATTACGTTTTTTAAACAATTTAGAGCTGTTGTGATAACACGGATTAGTCAAAAGATTTAAAAAGAGCCAGGACCGTAACAACTAATAAATCTGACAAAAGATGTGTAGGAAATGTGATCGTTTTCAAGCCGAAACTCGGAGCAGCCAGGTCTCTTCTTCAGAGAGAGAAGGCGAGAGGAGCTGCAGCCGCCCAGGTGAGGCGTTTACCTGTCGCCTACTTTAACCACTTTCAAACTTAAAATGTCAAATCTTAACATACCAACACACACAGGTTAACATGTCTAAATTCAAATGGACTTACTCCGTCTCCTTCGCAGTCTGATATTAAAAGGTGAATCCTGTTGTTGGTCGGTGTCCGTACGAGTTGTCACCGCACCATGTTTTCCTCTTCTTCCTGCTTGTAGAGAGCTGCTCGGCGGCTCCCCGCCCCTTCCTGCCCCCGCTGCCTCACCTGCTCTGCCCCTGCTCCAAACCTGACGGACCGGTCCGACACGTCGAGCGCTTAAAACAATAATAAGATGCTGAAAAAACAACAACGCGTGGCATTCGGGGAGGCTGCAGCAGCTGCGGAAGTGAGCGACTAGGTGCTCTGGTGCTCACGTGACGCACAGGTAAAGGCACGTAATTGAATCCTTAATGAAACCAGGTGGGCTTTACAGAGAAAGTAGTGCTGCTTACAAACATGGCCCCTAATGTGATATTTATTTGACGTCTTGACCTTTCAATTGTATAACCCCTTAATTGTTAAGTTACATTTAATAATTATTCTACGGAAGCCCCCCACCCCCACCCACCCATAAAGTAAAGATCTCGAGAAAGCCAATCTGACATTTATGTCCTTAAATTGGATGTATATCCACAGGGCATGTAAGGCTTCTATATGGCATAATAAAGATATAAAACCAAGCAACAACCTCTGTTGGTTGATTATGGAGATCATAAATGTGTTGTTTGTATTCTTAATATTCTTGAAACTATTTATTGGGCCTCTTTCATTTTACAAATTTAAAAAAAACGAGGACATACAATATCATAAAAGAGATGAAAGTGAAAGCTTAACAGATCAAGGAGTTCTTAAAAGTTGAATAGATTTCTGTCAAGTCCACACATGACTGTTTGGGCTTATTAGATCTCAGGAGGAACTTAAGACATTGTGAAATGTTTGAGAAGACTTTGATTTGTAGAGTTATTTGAATGTTTCAGGTGGTTGTGTTGTTGTCATTAGTGAGTGCAGCACAGCATGTGCCAATTCTCTTGACCTCCTGTGAAGCCTCCAGTTTGATGTTAATTTTTGATTTATGATAATCATTAAGGTAGATTATTCACAACAATAATAATAATGTTTTTTTTATTAGGTGCAATAAAGTGACAAACTGGTGATATACAAATGAGGCACAAAAAAAACAAACAGACAAGGTCAGGACAACGGCTCCAAAATACAGTAAAAAATGAAAATAAATAAGACAAATAAAGACAGCAAAATAAGACATCAATAGACACACATCATACTATGAACAGAAAAACTACAAAATTATATGAAATACCTAAGAAAGGATACAAAAAGTGAAAGAAGCAATAGAGGGAGAGAGAGAGAGAGAGAAGGAGAGGGAGAGAAGGTGCTTAGTAAGGGGGACTTGAAAGGTGGAAGAGAGTTGAAGAGTTGAGCAGTGGTATGTGTTGAATATGTTGATGTTAAACAATGTTGTGGTGTGAGAGGTGAGAGTTTGTGTAATGATTATGTTTTAGCGGAAGTTGACTGCAGCCGGGGTTTTGGGGGTGGTTTGAGCGTTTATTTGATTGGAGGGGAGGATGGAGGGAGAGGCAAAGCTATTATTTTTCTTTTTTTTTCTTTGGCCAGGTCCTGCAGCAGCAGCCCCCAGACCCTCAGGAAGGGACTTGTCGCTTGCAGGACCCGGCCTGTTCAGTGAGCACACGAGAGGGAGGGGCCACCAGACCCAGCAGAGGGAAGCCCACCCCCCCAAATGCAGTAGCTGTTATATTGCTGTTAATAATAATGTATCTTTGGCTTGTGTTGACAAATCTGCCGACCACCACCCTCTGCTCAGTGGCTCCACAGGAGACAGAGTCAGGAGCACTACATTACTCAATGTGCTCCTGTCCACCCTGGCCACCTCACCTGGTCTCACTACGACGTTTACCATGAGAGCTAATGAGAGGATCATAGGGGTCTGTCTCCCCTCCATCCAGGACATGTTCCAGTTTCACACTGTACCCAGAGCCTCTTTCATTGTGAAGGACCTTTTCCACCCCTTACACACACTGTGTCCCCCCCTCTTATCAGGCAGGAGGTTAGACATGTATTAATTATTTACTTATTTATTCATTTACTTATTCAGTTTTCTAATTTTTCACACTGTGAAATATTTCAGTGACAATGCATATTATTTACATCACCCATTGTATTCATGCTCAACAATAGCCTATATGTTTCACAGCTAGTTGAAATCATTTGGAGCACACCTTGCAGTCTTTTGAGATGAGATGATGAGATGAGATTCAACTTTATTGTCATTACACATATACAAGTATAGAGTAACGAAATGAGGTTTGGCATCTCACCAGAAGTGTAAATAAGCAGAAAGTGCAAGAGTCTGTGCTATGTACAGTAATTCTGTGCTATGTACAGTGATTGCAAAATTTACAGATGTAGACAAAGAAAGTGAATTATTCGGTAAATCTGGATGGCTGGATTAATGGGATGCAATAAATATAAATAAATGCTATAAATAAGTAATCTTCTTTTCTGTTATCTTGTTGTTTTAAAGACATTTATTTGATTTGCACTAAACTCTCTTAGCATCTGGTCTGTGAGAAACATCATTAGATTCAGACCGGTTTGGACCAGGGAACGTGACGTCACGAATGTAAGGACAAAGGCGTTCTGCACATGCGCTGCTGATCAGCGCCGTGCCATCAATGACGTCATTTTAGACGTCACAGATTTGTCGAACCGAGGTTATGAGTAGAGGCTGTTCAGACCATAAAGTAAGAACTCTGGGACCTTGAGTTCCAGGGGTCAGGGCCTGCTCTGGGAGTTTGCATGTTCTTGCCTTGCAGGCGTGGGTTCATCCGGGTTCTCCGGTTTCCTCCCACAATATCAAAACATGCTCGTTAGATAGGATGGCTATTTGTTTGTTTGGTCGGATTCGTCGGTCCGTCGGACACAAACATATAGCCTATACGCACCCGCGCGCGCGCGCACACACAAACATACAAACAAAACAAACAAACAAACATAGTCTATACATACATGTAGGCTAAATTGATATTTACAGAGATAGATAGATTCATTTTGGAGCCATATTGGGCTTTACTTGTTCATTTATCTCTGTTCCAAGGATCCAGGTGTTTGGAGCCAGGTGTGTCAATGCATTGATCTCTGTTTGAGACATCGCTAATATTTTGTATGTAATTCAGAAGTTGAACACTAGGAGGAGTCTTGGTTTAATAAAGCCAAGGCTCCAGGTGGTTGGAGCCAGGTGTGTCAATGCATAGATGACAGACAAACAGACAGACAGACAGACAGACAGACAGACAGACAGACAGACAGACAGACAGACAGACAGACAGACAGACAGACAAACAGACAGACAGACAGACAGACAGACAAACAGACAGACAGACAGACAGACAGACAAACAGACAGACAAACAGACAGACAGACAGACAGACACACAGACAAACAGACAGACAGACACACAGACAGACAGACACACAGACACACAGACAGACAGCAGGACTGAATAACACACAGGAAGTGGCTTTTCATAATTACCTTTCTCTCTGACAAAAGATAAGATATGAAAGGTATTCTGGTGTTTTGGCTGTTTATATATCACCTCTTAAGAGCACCTACCTACTTACCTATGGGCTACCTATTTACCTACCTCCCCTTCTCCCTACCTATACTTACCTTCCTCTCTCCTTACCTTCCTCCCTACCTGCCTCGTCTCTGAGCCTCTCTTTGGAAAAGAGTCTTTCAGGGATGAGGTTGGCTCATTACACCTGTTTTGAAGCTGCATATTCTTAAGAAATATACAGGAACAACTACAAAACCCACTTTTCCTGTTTGTCTTAAGAGCCCAAAATGTGTTGAAATAAGGCCCAGGTTAAAAACTGAGGAGTTACCCTTTTCTTTACTACACCCCCTTTGTTAATAAAGTTTCCCTATTTAACAAACTGATTGTCTTGGAAATGTTCAAATCTAGCATTGTGTTTGTTACAATTCCCTTTCTTACCTGGATTTAAACTGAGATTTATTTGTATGTGTAAAAACTTAACGGGTGCTGAACCCTCAAATCAGAGGTCAACTTTCCCTGAAAAACATTTCTTACTTGATTGACACCAAAATATTTACAAGACATCTCCAGACAGTCCACCACAAAAGAAACAGACAGATTGTGTATTTCTCTAAACTGAACCCATTTCTACAGAAGCCCTTAGCAGACATGTGTCAATACATTTGATATAATTCTGTTTTCCCATAGTTACCAGTAACTTTCAGTTGCCCACAGGAGAGAGAGAGTCAGGAGCACTATTAGTCAATGTGCACCTCTCTGGTGACCTCACCTGGTGTCTCTCTACACCTCCCGGGGAGACTGATGAGAGCCAGTTTATCACCACCCATCCTCTCCACCTTACAGAGGTACAGTGGACAGAGTCAGCTGTATTATAGTGAGCTAATGAGAGGATCATAGGGGTCTGTCTCCCCTCCATCCAGGACATGTTCCAGTTTCACACTGTACCCAGAGCCTCTTTCATTGTGAAGGACCTTTTCCACCCTTACACACACTGTGTCCCCCCTCTTATCAGGCAGGAGGTTAGACATGTATTAATTATTTACTTATTTATTCATTTACTTATTCAGTTTTCTAATTTTTCACACTGTGAAATATTTCAGTGACAATGCATATTATTTACATCACCCATTGTATTCATGCTCAACAATAGCCTATATGTTTCACAGCTAGTTGAAATCATTTGGAGCACACCTTGCAGTCTTTTGAGATGAGATGATGAGATGAGATTCAACTTTATTGTCATTACACATATACAAGTATAGAGTAACGAAATGAGGTTTGGCATCTCACCAGAAGTGTAAATAAGCAGAAAGTGCAAGAGTCTGTGCTATGTACAGTAATTCTGTGCTATGTACAGTGATTGCAAAATTTACAGATGTAGACAAAGAAAGTGAATTATTCGGTAAATCTGGATGGCTGGATTAATGGGATGCAATAAATATAAATAAATGCTATAAATAAGTAATCTTCTTTTCTGTTATCTTGTTGTTTTAAAGACATTTATTTGATTTGCACTAAACTCTCTTAGCATCTGGTCTGTGAGAAACATCATTAGATTCAGACCGGTTTGGACCAGGGAACGTGACGTCACGAATGTAAGGACAAAGGCGTTCTGCACATGCGCTGCTGATCAGCGCCGTGCCATCAATGACGTCATTTTAGACGTCACAGATTTGTCGAACCGAG